GTAATCAGAGACCATTTACTATTAATAGGAAATTATTTCAGTTGCTTTAAACGTTATTGGTGACGTCGGCAGGCTATATCGTGCCATTTGGAATTCAAACGATCATGTCGTTGACTGACTGACTGACTTAATCCAACGGCGTACATACATGCACCGACTATTATATATCTCTCACCACGTAGGAGCCGGCAGTACGCTGACTTTACGATTGTTTGCGATAGTCAACTTCATTATTCATGCTTAATGGAAAAGAGGAGCAAGTTTTACTTTAGATTCCTTAACAGGTTGGTAGTAACATACCTAAATTGGTCAGGTGTCGGTCGATGATTCTGCAGTTGTAGTTGATCCTCCAAGTGTTTGATTCTATGTTGTCACAGTACATCGAGGTCCATTTTCCACTGACCTCATAAGGTAGTTACAATATACATAAAGTGTCACAACTTCGCCATTTCAGGAATATTCGAACACTCTAAAGAAATCAGCAGGAAAAGACCTCGGTATATTCTGACGGCATAGAATTTCGTAGTCTGAAACACCACCTTCAGCTCGAGATTCCTTATTTTGATATTACGTGATCTGCATCAAATGACAAAAAGTTTCGTTACAGCCTATGCAAAAATCTAAGTCTGCGCGGTATGCATCACTTAGAGCGCTAGAAATCAGAAGTAAAATTTTCTATCCATTTTAACTCATTTTACAAATAATTTGAGTTGCTGACGTTTGTCTAACCTGTTGAAGAAAACGGTAGATGGGTTTTAGTGTTCTCTACTGAAATGAAGCCCACTTCCCCTGCATAACAGTCTAGAAATCATCGACCTTCAAAGATTCATCAGCAGGATGCTCATACAATGTCTGAAATGACTGAGACATTGTTTGAGGGAAAAGTGGCTACGTAAATGTCAGAACCCGTATTCGTAGTTTCTGCATAAATGCACAAGCCATTAATCAGTAAGAACAGGATGGGTTTCGCTGATGTATGTCAGAATCGAGTTCAGCGTTGCTGCATGACTCTCTGCAGTAGGACCACCATGTTGCATTTCAGATTCTTCATCTGAATCTCTCATTATCTATCATAATGAACAGCCATTCTGTGATAGCTACAGATGGCCAGAATGACTTATGACGAATGTCTGAAGAAAATTATACTTAGGCTTGACTGAGGAACAAAGATCGAAAACAAGATCAAGAGGACGGGAGAAGGCCATATCGCGCAATGGAGTGGAGATGTTGCGAAAGGTAATACCATATGACATACCGTATCTCTTTGGAACAGAAGACACACTTGATATCCGTTCATCACTTACTTTGTGTGTATGTCTCGAATGGTAGGAACATCCTACGAGAGTTAAACGTCATCAGATATCAATTTTCATGCGCTGCTAAGACGATATTCTGCAAAACGTATAACCTTGAGGTAGAGTTTTCAGTACTGAATGACTGCTGTCACATCAACGATGTAAAATTGTGCTCGGAGTACGGTACCGTGGTCTGTAACTGTCGCCTAAATCTTCCCATGCTCAAGTTTGGCACTACTATTTTCTGGGCGATCACCACAGCTTACATTTCTGAATGACTTTCGGAAACAAGCGATGACTGTAAAATGTTTTAAGATATATTAATACATTGATTTTCAGGTGCTCCATCGAGCTAAACAAAGTTGAAGCTAGTGATCATGTTAAAATGCCAACTCAGTCTCAGTTTCATCGAATGTAGCCAGGTTCTAGGTCAAATTGTACATCGTTTGCTTTCACTCATGTATGACAGAGGTTGCCATGTTCCCGTCTGTTGCCATCAAATAGACAACAGTAGACGAACATGGACTGAATTCAATTAAATTGCTGGGCAGACTTGCAGACTATTTTCTTCATTCCAACAGATCAACAGGGTTTCCCAGAGTAAGATGAGAACATCACATTGACAAGTGAACAGGATCGTAGTGAAATTAAATGCAAATAAAGTTTTAAAAAATACACCAGCATCGTTTCTGGTGTTTTCAGCCAGATGCTTACAGTTAGTGCCTAAAGCTGTCACTCGTTCAGCGCCACCACTGAGGTCCGATGGCAAGAACGCTGGCCGACGGAGGTATTCACTCGGTCGCCGTGTTTCGTCAGAAGCAACGCAGCGGCAGCGACATGGGTGTGGTCGATGATCGTGATGATGATGTTCCAGCTGAAAAAGCATCGACGGTTCAGCAGACAGCACAGCCAAGAGTATAGAACTTGACTCGCTTCGCTTCGTGCTGACTGCTTAACGATTTGCAATGATGACGACCACGACCAATGCATCTAACGAACGCGAAACGGTTGTGGTGATGGCAGCCAACGGCAACCGTCCCGATGCATGCATGTGAGGGCCGTTGAGAAACGTCGCGCGTAACGACAGGATGGATGACGCGGTGTGGCGAGCAGAGGTTCGAGTGCAGATCGTCGCCGCCTTCGTCCTCGCCTTCAAAGCACAGCCTGAAAAGAAAGATGGCCGATTAATGACGGAAGAAGAACAGCGGGAGGAGAACGAGGAAGACGAGCAAAAGCGGGAAGCGACAGCCGGCCGCATCTCGCCGTCGGCGAGCACATAGGCTAAGCTTTCCCAAGTGTTTTAAAATCGTTTAAAGTGAACAAAAACAGAGTGCGGTTCAGCGAGCGGCTTCGACACCGTTGCACAACGGTCACAAATCAAGATTTCACGCAACGCGCGATCTCTAAAACTATACGGCCAGCCGTTTGTCGATGATATGCGGATTACTCCATTACCTCAGTCCTTTTAGCTGACAATGAACTTCACTTATCTGAAATCCATGTTTGCGAATTGAACGAGAGTTCAAGAGTTCACCACACTCGATAAGGTCCATACAAACCATAGGTGCATTCCCTGAAGAAAGCTGCGAGGTATACATGATTGTTCAAGATTCAGTACAGTTCTTCCTTCGTTGTGAAACTGTGCAATAATCAACGCACTAACAAATAACCTACTCAGTACACTGCGATATAGAATCTTTTTTAAACAGATTCTTTCCATGCCTTTTGAAGCCCCGCATTTCATGTTTTATTCTAAACAAATACCCAAGAAAACAGGACTAGAACGATGCGGAGTTTATTCCAGAATAATGAGAGAGAAAATGCTCAAAAGTGTCAAAGTCATGCAGGAACTACTAGCACAGAAGCTACTACTAACACAGAAATAAATAAAAAGACCACGACAGTGAAAAGCAGTAGGCCATTCCATTAATGGAACATTTCTTTGTAGACGCACAATGAGCGCGTTTTCGAAATTTTCCCTGGCGAGCATGGAAAGCAAACCTTAAATATCATTATATTTATTTACAATATTAATTTTATTTAATTTAATATACA